AAAAAAAAAAAAAGAAGTAGGAAAAACACAAAAGTCAGACAGACACAGACTGAATCTCTCTGCGCAAATGAACCTCACTGGGACTCGGTGCTCATAGGTCTAAAAATAGGGTTCAAAGAAATGACCTACAAAATCCCTGCCGCCCTAGGATAGAAGGGGCCACACAACTGCAGTTATCTTAGCTGTTGCTTGCCTTGGTTCCCTCGTCCACACTGTCCTCTAAGACCTGCCTTCCTCACCTGTACCTTTTGCCAGTGGCATCTGAGGGGTCCAGGACAGAGGCTCCAATCTCTGTGAGCCATCAGGTATCAGGACAAGAAGGAATAAAAGCACCAGACACCGGGGGCTCAGGGCCTCTCCCCAGAGAGCTCGGCAGACCTCAGACTGCCAGGCTTCCTGTGCCTGGGCGCGGGTTGAGTAGGGTTGGGGCTAGAGGTGGGGAGAGGGCGTGACCTGAGGAGGGTCACACTGGAAAGGAAATGGCAGAGGTAGAGGCCAGAATGTGCGGGAGTGCACTGGCTGATTTCAATCAATCCTCAGCCCTGGAGGCAGGGCCTCTCATTATCCTCCCTTTACCTATCAAGGCACAGAGAGGTTAAGTGTCTTCCTGGATGTCTATCTCCAAAGGCCTGCTCTTGATCTCTCCGCCACTGTGAGCTCTGGCTGAGCCTCAGAATCACCTGGGGTGCTGCTGAAACCCACATGCGCTGGGGCCCCGCCCCTCCCAACTGACTCAGAGTTTCCAGGGGTGGGGTCCAGGTGTTTGTAGCTTTCACAAGCTGCCCTTCGGGGCCCTCAAAGAGGACTCCCACAGTCTCACCGCCCAGCCAGGCAGCCCCTGACCTCAGAGTTGGAAGCCATTGACCTCTGAGAGGCTTCATTTATGCACTGTTTCCTCTGAAGGCATGTGGGGAAGTGGTTCTCCTGGAGGGGCTTGTGAGTTCCCTAAAAACTTGAGTGTGGGGATGGGGCAGGTGCCGTGCCCATGGTCCTGCGGTTTCCAGCCTTCATTGGCGCACATAGGACGGGTTTGGGAACTCATGCACAGCATCGAGTAATGACTGCGGAGAGAATGAATGATCTCTCCCTTGCCTAGATGGCCTATAGTTCTTTTTTTTTTTTAATGCATCTAGGTACCACGTGATTCTTTTATAATATACAGACCTATTTAAGAGTTGCTGAATGTATTTTTCTCAGCCAGCGGGTACTAGAGCATAACTATTATCCCAAGGGAGGAACACTGGGAATTTTAAAAGGTGGGAATCTCTGGATAAGCTGTGTGCCTCCTGACAGCAAGAAAGGGCTAGATGGGGGGTGGGGGAGGGGGGATGCCTGGGTGGCTCAGTCTGTGAAGCATCTGCCTTTGACTCAGGTCACGATCTCAGGGTCCTGGGATCCACCCTGAGTCGGCTCCCTGCTGAGCAGGGAGTCTGCTTCTCTTTCTCTCTCTGTCCACCCCACCCACTGTTCATGTTCTCTTGCTCTCTCTCGAATAAATAAATAAAATCTTTTTAAAAAGTAAAAGAAAAAGAAAGAGCTAGAAGGGGTTGAGGGTAGGCACCAAAGACAAGACAGGCTGGAAAAAGGGAAAGGAGAGGTCGCATCCAGGGTCGATTTAATCTATTTCATGTACTTTGTTAAAATTTCTTTTAGTAGGCTAACTGGTGATCCCCCGTTCAACCCTCTGCCTTTACAGGTGAGAAACTAGCGGTTCAGAGACAGTGCACACTTGCCCAAGGTCATCGAGTTGGGGAGCAGGCCTGTGTGGCTCTGAGTCAAGTGCTCTGCACATCACTAAATCATCGCATCACTCCCTGCCATCCCAGCCCAAGACCAGTGGCAGGGAGGGGTCAGAAGAAAGCTGAGTATCTGGCGCCTGGGTGGCTCAGTCGGTTAAGCATCTGCTTTTGGTTCAGGTCATGATCCTAGGGTCCTGGGATCGAGCCCCGCATTAGGCTCCCTGCTCAGGGGGGAGTCTGCTTCTCTCTCTCCCATTGCCTGCCATTCTGCCTCCTTGTGTGATCCCTCTCCATCTCTCTATCAAATAAATAAATAAAATCTTAAGAAAAAAATATAGTTAAAAAAATAAAATAAAATAAGTGGTTCAGTGAAGACAGTGTTTAAAAAAAAAAAAAAAAAAAAGAGGCTGAAGATCCCAGCCAGCAGATTCCTGGACTGGAATTGCTCTTAACTTTCTCGCCACCAAAGTGAGGGTTGTTGTTCCCCTCCAAACACAGAGCCTGAAACTCAGGAGCCTGGAAGACCTGAAAAAGCCAAGTCGGGAAGGCCCCAGTTTACCCTCCCTGCCCACCCCGGCTCCTGCCAGTCAAAGGGAAGGGGCAGGCCTGCTTCCTCCTAAGAGCTCACTAAGCCAGAGACATACTGCTCCATCCACATCCCTAATTCCAGGGCCCTCACCCCAATTCTTAGCTGATTCCCCTCTAGGCCTAGTACTAAGTCTGCTCCCCAGGGAAGAGAGGAAATCCATCATTGCCAAGGCTTTTCTCCTTGCAGCCATCGGGCAGGACTCTTACTCCCTCCAGAGTTCTTTAGATAAGGAGGTTCTGGGGACCCTGGGAAAACTCAGGCAGTCCTCAACTCCTGGGAAATTTGGTGCTCTGCCTAAATCCTTCCTGTGAAGAAGTGTCATGCCTATTGGTCTAATAGTACTTTTCCCAACGCATTTGGACAGAGGCCATTGTATCCACTACAAGAATTCAAACAGAGGAAAACCCATCTGCTCTCTCCCCAAGATTTCCTTCTCCGGAGAGAACAATCCTGACTCCTTGGGCTACTTCTCAGAGGTCTGGCTGCTCTTCCTCCTCCCTCATCATGGCTTTGCCCACGACAGCCAGTGACAGCCCAACACATCAGGGAAGTGGTGACTGTCACAGAAAGACACTGCTTGCTGGGCTGGAGCATGTCTCCCTGCCTGGTCCCAATCCAGGGCCCTAAGGCCAGGGACAGTGTTAGTGAGGACAGACTAACCCCAAGGTCTTTTCCCTTCTCCCCCAAGTCTTTTCAGGGGTGGGGTTGGTTCCCCCGGTACCTCTGTCATCTGCTTCCTCCTCTGACTTCTGACCACTTCTCTATTGCTCCTTTGTCTTTCCGGCATCCCTGCCCCCAACACTATCACTACTTCCTCCTGTTCCAGTATCTCCCACTATGGTCTCAGGGAAGAGCTGCCTTCCCTATTCTTCTCTTGCATGACATGGGCCCCACTGTGTCTGCCTGACCCACCACCTGGCCTGAGACTCCCACTGCTAGCAGCGATTCCCACTGCTAGCAGTGGACATGTTTTCTGTTGAGTGGGGGAGAAAACTTCCTTTGCTCTTCTGTGACCAAAGGCTGCTGGCGGAGGGCTAAGTGTGAGCAGTGATGTGGTGCAGATGGTGGCCAGTTCAAGTATGTGAGCTGCTAACAGAATCTTCCCTGCAGATACTCAATGTGTGGGGGTAAGGAGTGGGCATCAATCCAGGTGGAGGCTGAGAAAAGAGGGATAAGGCAGAAAGCCTTACTGGCTGAGGTCACAAGGAAAAGGGGTAGCCACTTTCTATGTGAGGGGTAGGTATAGAGAGCCTGGAGCGGATATAGGGGCTACAGGTAGTGGAGACAGAAGACAGTACCTTGGAGAGAACAAACTATGGAGGTTGGGACTGTTCCTATCCTGAAGCCCCCACCAGATGACATGATGTGCAATAAAAGGATTTAAGTAAAATGTAAGGAAGAGCCTGCCTATTGAGGAATCCTCCTCAAGGATCAAAGGTAGTAGTGGCCTATCTTTGCTGGGGGAGTCAATAATCATTTTTTGAATGCTCATAATTCTAGCTAAGGGACAGATTATGGGACAGGACCAGTTTGGAACATCCAAGTTTATTGTGTCCTAGTTCAGCAAAAGAGGGGGTTGGTATGGGGGTGGGGCACAACGCCTACCCTGCCTTTTTCATCTCTCCCAGATTTGCAAGCACCTCCTATCTTGGTCATTAAAAATGGAGGCTTCCTTGAGGCTGCAGGCATCCTTGGGGGTGCTCAGAAGAGACACCAGAAATCTAGGGCCCAGCTTCACGCCAGGTACATAGTCACTTGGTCAACATGTGAACCGAATGAATGATCATCAGTAAGGCAGGTCACTGAGGGCTGAGGCTTACCCTGCTTCTGTCTCCCAGGGTCCCCAGGTTCCAGTGGCCTGGGGCCTTGTTTCTTCCCCACTGACCAGGGTGGAGAAGGCAGCACTAAGCTGGGACTAGAGAATGGAAGGAGAGAAACTTGCTGGTCTCCCAGGCATTGTCCAGGACTGAGCACTGAACTGTAAGGCAATCACCGATGGGGCTCTTCCTGGGCTCAGATTCAACCCCTTCCCTACCTGAGGTCCCAAGGCCAAAGAGAACAGTTTCCCAACCTGAGAGGAGTGGGCAGCGGGCTGGGCAGCCGCAGAGCAGGGTCTCGGTCCTTGCCCCTTCCCAGCGCTGTTGCATCTGAGAGACAGGGCTCAGAGGAGCTGTTCTCTGGCAAAGGCGACCCAGTCAGCCTGATTTGGAATTGGGAGAGGCTCTTTAAGCCTCTCACTCAGCTCTGGGAGGAAGTGACTGACAAGTACTAGCTAACCGTCTCTCTTCAAAGCCAGGAGGAAGCAGCAGGACGGAGTAGGGTGCATGCCCTGCTTCACTCTGGGGAGATGTGTGCTCATCACACGGAGTGTAGGATGTAGCCTGGCCCGTTGGCCTTCACAACCTTATGATGTCACCTCCACCCTCCAGAGAGTTGGGGGTGGGCAGGTTTCGGGGCAAAGGCTATGCATATTACCTCCCTGGGGCCCCAGAACGCAGGCAGCAGCATCCACCCGGTGGCGACGTCCCGGTTACCCGGTCCCGGCTCCCCTCCCCAGGCCTGGGCCTCTGCATGGCTGAGTTCCATCCGCGCAGCGTCCCCGCCCGGCTCCGGGGCGCCAGGGGCCGAGGAGGCGCTCCCACCGGTCACCCCGGGCCCCGGAGGCCCCTCACCTTGAGCTGGGACTTGGAGACCTTGCCGCTCTTCTCCACGTCCAAAGCGGTGAAGGCGTACCAGATGGACTTGAGCAGCTCCTTGCGCAGGGCCATGGCTGAGGTGCCCGCCCGGCCCGGGGGCGGCTCTGACACCGAGATCCGGTTTCAGGAAATGCGAACGGCTGCGGAGACCGCAGAGGGGCCATGGCGCGGAGCAAGAGCTCCACCTGCCTGCTCGAGCGGGCTCCCGGTGCTGCTGGGGGTTGTCGCTCTCGCCGAGCTCCAGGCCCACTCTCTGCGCACCGCCTGGGAGCCCAGCCCCAGAAAGCCTGAGGCCTGCTGCTGTCCAGTGTGGCTCCTGGGGCGTGGGGCCCTTTACAAGTCTCCCCAGCCCCAGAAACTTCTGGGGCTTCCTGGGTTCCCAGAGGCAGCTTGCTGAGGGGATGAAGGAAAAACAAAACAAAAACAAAACAACAAAAAGAAACACAAAGCCCCACCACCCCTGACTTTGGGAGGGTGGTGGTAGAGGGTGTCCTGGCTCACTTGCACACTTCCCAGGCAGGAGGCCTTGCTCGAGCTACTAACCTCCTTGAGCAGTTCCCTCAGGGGAGAGCGGGAAGAATACCCACCTACCCAGTTGTAAGGTCTGGGCATGGGTGTGAAGCAGAGTAGGGATGGGACAAAGCATGTCTTTTAGGGCCGTCTAACATCACTGTGGTGGCAGGGCTCCTCCCAAGCGGAAGAAAACAAAGGCGAGGACATACAGTTGGCAGAGGAACTGGGCCAGGGCACCTCTCCAGGTCAGGCGGGCTTGGTCCGTGACTTGTTGCCTCCCCATCCTCAGGGCTCTGGCTCTAGAAGGCCTCAGCTCAGAGCGCTGCCTACTCTGTTGGCCCTGAGAATGGGAGCCTGTTTCTGAATCTCAGGGCCGTGGGGTGGGGGGGGGGAGGGTGAACCTTGTGCAGGGGGTGGGGGCAGCTCCTGGCGTGCCGACAGGAGGCCTGGCACTCAGGGTCCTCCACGGCTGTGCTTCACTTTCTTCAGATCCACTGTCTGTGAGGGCCGGGACGTGCTTGCCCAGAACAGTGGTCATGGGTGTTGGAAGAAGCCTGCTTGGGTACCTGAGACACCCCTCTTCCTAGGGGCATGTCCCAGGCCTCTCTGCTTCCAAGGAGCTGCTGGCATGAGTAAACGGAAGACAGAGTACCTGGGCTGGGGGGAGGGTTCCATTCCCAGGTGGCAGGAAGGGACTGGGCACATCCATCACCTTGGAGACAGGAAAAGAGGCCCCTCCAGTCCCTGCAATGTCCCATGACAGACAAGGCAAACCCAAAGAGTTCTTCCCATCATGTCCCCACCCCCCTTCCCACCAGGGCTGGTCAGCCCTCCCACACTTTCACTAAGGTCCAGTGGTGGCTTTGGGATTCCATAGCATGGTCCCATTGGGCATCTCCAGAGCTGGGACTTCAGCACCAGAGCAGCACAGTCATCGGAGACCCTCGCTAACCTTGGCAAAGGCACCTCCTACCCCGACTCCACTCTGGGGCTTTGCCCACTTGGAGACACTGACTATGTGCACAGTGGGGGCTGGGCACGGAAGGGCTCGATATCACACAAGGTAAGGTAGGAAAAAAACACAGTTCCTCTGAGCCAACCATCCCGATGTCTGAGATCCAACCAGAGCCTGGAAACAGTGGTCACCCTGGGCCCGTCTACCACCCTGGAGCCCACCTGCTTGGGTACGGGCAGGAAGCCACCTTACACCCATGCCCCTGGTAGGCCAGTCCCACCAGTCTGGCACTGAGGCCCGGTGGGGTTGGTCTGGGGATACAGGGCTAGGAGCCTAATTCGACCAGCCCTGGTATCAGGGCCCAAAGTCGAAAGGAGGGAGGCAGGGGCCCAGGTGGAAACTTGGAACTTTTATTAAATACTCATTCACCCATTTGCCACCACCAACCAGAGCAGGAAAAAAATTATCAAAATGGAATTAAAAAAAAAACAAACCAAAATAAATTCAACCCAATCCCCAGTATGTACAAGGCCACTCCCTACCTCTCTGGTGGAGAGGAGAGGGGCGGCTGGGGGTGGGTGGGGCTGGGCACCCTTTCTCCAACCACAGGCCCCTGAGCGGTTCTGTGGTGGCAGGAAACCCTGCTGCCAAGTGGCCAGGCACCTTGGCAGGCTTCCAGGGAGGTGGTTATTGCTGGGAGGAGCAGCGCTGGGCCTGGTCTGCTCCTGCTGGGCCGAGAGCTGGGCCAGGTGGCCCCTTCCCCTGGTGGGCGGTGACCAGTCAGAACAGAGGACCAGTCCCCACAGCAGTCCTAGTCGCCATCTGAGAAGGGGATTGGACTGAGAGATTGGAAGGGTGTTCTCTGGAGGAAGGAGAGTGGGCACCCAGCTGATTCTGAAGAGGGGATGCCCCAGTGCAGCCTGGTGATCAGCTTGTCCTCTTTAGCTCCTGACACCCTCCTCTGATTCCAGCTGTGCAGCCCTCCCCTGGAGCAGGGCCCCCGGCATCCCCTTCATTTAGGCTGTTTTCCTGCCGCCATCTCTCCCCGGAGACCTCTGTGGCCACCTTCCAAGTGTCGGCCACAGCCCGGGCCCTTGGAGCAGGGGTGCCTGTGCGGCATGGGGCCTCCTCCAACTCGCTGTGGAATCCAGCCCCCTGGGACTCAGCAGCCATTCTCTGACTCTGTGGCCTCCAGGGTCACGGCCCCTTGCTGCATGGCAGCAGTGGCCACGCTGATGGCCTCTTCTAAGGTCTGCTGCTCCTCCAGCTGCAGAGAAGGGGGGAGAGAAGCAAGGAGAGAGTCAGTCACTCCCCACCAGACTCTAGTGCTAGTGAGTATGTGGCCTGCTTTGCTGAATCCCCTCTATCTACCCAGTGCCAAATACTGAACACTCAGTGGGGCCCCCGTGAATGGCAAGTTCGCTGATAGAGTCCCAATGATCCCGGGTCAGAGAGAGTGGCCTGTTCATAGAAGGGGATCACTGGCCGGAGGGGACCTCAGTGATCATCTACTTGAGCCCACTTATTTTCCTGATGAAGAAACGGAGGCACAAAGAGACAAAGGGTTTAGACCACCTGGCATTCTTTTTTGGGCCGAATGCCCTTCTCTTCAAGATCTCTGTCTCCTTCCTCTCCCCTCCTTATTCCCTCCTTATTCCCTCCTTTCTTAGGCTCTGGGACCTCAACACACCTGCACGGCAATGTGCGTTCCGTTGGCTGTGGCCAACAGTGCCACCTGTTGGTGATGGAGGGATCCTACACTTGCGTTGTCAGCCACCACAGCCCCAGAGGTAATGATTGTAACCTGAAAATAAAAGAATGAGATTTTTCCAAGCCACCTATGTTACTCTCCCTCCCCCCAAGCCAAATAAAAATCCTTTCAAGCAAGGTGGCGGGGAACAAGCCAGAAGGGGATGGATAAAACCATTATGGGTCAGATTAATTAGCACGGGGCTCAGAGCTGAGTGAGGTGGCATTTTTTCTCTGACTGAATTTAGGGATTTGGATTCATAGAAGGTCAGAGCTGCAAAAGACCCAGTGGTAACTTAATCTCATTTGAAAATGGACTGAAGCCCGTGGAAAAGTGACCTGCCTGTGGTGGCAAATTGAGTTAGAGGTAGATCAAGATTTAGACACTGTCTCTTGACCCCCAGTGAAACGCTTTTCCAGAGAACTGATGACGCAGAGGAGCCGTGGGGGGAAATCTTGGTCCCCATAAGAAGGCTGGACGAGGCTGGCCGGCACGTTAATGCCCACCCCACAAAAAGGAAGGACAAGAGAACAAGAAACCCCAAGCAAACCGCCTGGTCATACGGGCTGCGTCTGCGTGCCATCAGCGCTGACCATGGTGACCGTATGTGTGCCAGCTGTGGCAAGGTCATCGTCCTCACTGGGTATGGTGAGGGTGGTGCTGCTGTGCTGGGTCACCATGCTGATAGCACTCCCCAGGGCCTGAAGGTCTTCGGGGGACAGGCTGACCTGGCGACAGGAAGGAAGATGAGCTGAGAGTGCAGTGGCGGGCTGTCTGAGAGCCCCTGGGTACGAGGACCTGCGCTCGCAGACAAGGTTAGCTTCTTGAGAAGCTGGAAGACTCGCTTCATGTCACAGAGGGGGAGGGAGACAGGGACAAGCAAGGAAAACAGTTCTTCATTTGCCTAAAGGAGATACTAGAAGAATTCTGTTGACCACTCCTATTTACCACCACTTTGCCTTGGAGCTCATTTCTATTTCAGTCTGGGGTCTCCACCCCAAATTTCATCCTCATGTCAACTCCAAAAGACAGAGGTATGCTTGTCAGCAAGGGTGCTGACAAGGGTCTTATCATACCGCTGGCTAGAAACCCCGGCCTCCAGACCCCACACCATGCTCTGGTCCCCACATCAACACGCCTCTCTTGAGAAATGTCTCAGTCAGACGATCAGGACCTGTCGGCCTCCACATAAAAAGGGAAGCTACTAATTGCTCTCGAAGTTCTAGAGGCTGAGGTGGAAGCTTGAGGAGAAGGGGCTGGCTGACAAGACTTGGGTCCCTGAGCCTCAGCTCTCTGAGCTCCACGAGGCGATAAAGAGAACCTGGGCAGGGGTGGAGCTGTCAGAACTTCGGGAGTCCCCGGACTGAGAAAGGGGACCAGCCACAGTGGCACACCCTTCCCCTTCCCCACCCTGCCCCCCACTCCCGAGGGCCTGTACCTGCTGGGCGCCGTCCTGAGTGATTAGAGCCACCTGGGGGGCCCCGTCCTCCTCGGTCACCATGGCCACCTGGGCTGGCAGATCATCGCCCTCTTCCTTCACCTCCGAGAGGTAGGCAACTCGGGAGCGTTTGGGTGGCGGATTCTCCTCGGTGGCGCAGGCGGCTGCGAGAGGAGAGCCCGAGCTGACACCTGCCACCGGCGGGCTCCGGGGAGGCCTGGCCCGTCCCCGCTCTCACCTCCTGCCCGGAGCCCTCACCGTCGAGCTGCTGCTGCTCGTACAGGGCCTGCTCACTCTCCTCCGTGGCCTCGAGCTCGCCGTGGGCACTGCGCTTGTGCATGGCCAGCGTGGAGGTCTGTCGGTAGGTCTTGCCACACGCACTGCATGTGTACGGCTTGCAGTGCGTGTGTACCACATGGTGCTTGTACAGGCTCGAGTACTCGGTGAAGCGCTTCCCACAGCCTGGCACCGTGCACACGTATGGCTTCTCCCCTGGGGACACTGGGCTGTGAGGGGGCGGGAACTGGGGCTGGCAAGGGGAAAGCTAAGGGGCCAGGGTGGGGGCGGGCAGGGCAGGGGAGGAGAGGGATTGAGACCAGGGACTCTCAACAGACATGGCTGGGGGTGACGGCCAGCAGAATGGAGGGGACAGGAGTGTGGGCCCGCTGAGCCCAGAGCAAAGGCCGGGGCTCGTGAAGGGACTGGCGGGGGGACGAGGCGGGGCTTGTGAAGGTGGAGGTTGTGAATAGGAGAGGCAAGAGATAGAAAGGGAGGACTGACATAGCAGGGGTGACGGGGGAGGGAGGGGACACGTATGCCAAGAGATGACACAGAAGGCTGGACAAGCAATGTGACATTGGGGAGGGCGAGCATATGTAGGAGTCATATGGACAGTGGAGGAGGGGAGGAGCTAAGGGTGACATTTCAGTTTTCTTTTCCCCCATCACGGCTGACCCTGGCCTTTTCCTGGAAGCTCAGTCAGAAGGGGAGAGCTCAGGGTGGGTGCAGGGAGGTGGCAGGGAGCTGGAGAGGGCCAGTGGGACCTGTTGGACGGGACCGGACTGGAAAGGGAGGAACCCACTGAGCCCCCTCTCCCCACCCACAGGCCAGCCTGCAGCAGCCAGGAGGAGGGCTTGAGGCTCAGAGTCGAGAACACGTCTCAGGCCAAAAGCCCAGAGGCGAGAG